ACTTATTCTCTCTCTCTCTCACTCTCTCTCTCTCTCTCTCTCTCTCTCTCGACATATATCTATCTATTCTCCATTCTCTGATCTTACAAAACACGACGCAGGAGCGAGAAAGCAGTCACAGCTCCTCACGTCCCCACAAGCCGGAAATGGGTGTGGCATCTTATTATTGAGACATTTTTATTCTCGGCGGTGGGACCCAGCACTCAGACCGTGGCCCCCACAAGGGAGGAGGCGACCTTGACCACCATGTCCCTGCCCACTGCTCCATTCATCAAGGAAGCCCCCTTCTTGTTGTTGACCGCGGCGAACTGCTGCGCCTCGCGCGCCGCCGCCTTCGGTTCCGCTGCCGGCGCTTGGTGCAAGAACTCTGCCACGATCTCCACGCTGGGGCCCGCCACCAGAGACGCCCACGCCTCGTCCACCTCCTTCCCGGCCCTCCGGAACACGTCGGTGGCGTCCACCCTGTGCACGTTCCACCCCGACAGCGTGCAGAGCCGGTGGATCTTCTGCAGCTGGCAGCAGGTCAGCTTGCACGTGTTGGCCTTGATCTCGTCGATCGCCGCCTCCAGCAGCCTCGCCTTGGTGGCCTCGTCGGCCTCCGCCGCCTCCGCGCGGAGGTAGCGGTCCATCTCCGGCACCCCGATCGCGCGGCGCACTCCCCGGGAGTAGTCTGCCACGTCCGGGTCGAACAGCCCCCGCACCTCCTCCACCAGTCCCCGCTCCACCATGCGGTCCACCCGCTCCGCCACGAACTTGTGCAGCACCGGCAGCTGCACGTCCACCCACAGGAAGCAGCACTCGTACCGCCGCCAGAACTCCCTACCCGCCCCCTCGACCAGCTCCTCGATGTACGAGTTCGACCCCCCCGCCACGATGGGGAGCCGCCCCCGCCGCGCGATCGACTCCACCTGCAGCGTCGCCGCCCGGCGGAAGTCCGACGCGCTGAAGTCCGCGTCAGGAGGCAACCCACCGAGCAGGTGGTGGGGCACCCCCATACGTTCCTCATCGGTGACTTTGTTGGTGACGACGTCAAGGCCATCGTACACCTGCATTTTGTCGGAGTTGACGATCTCGCCGCCGAAATGGATGGCCACGTCGACAGCGAGCCTGGACTTGCCGGTGCCCGTGGCGCCCATCACGAACACCACCTTGTCCTTCCCACCACGGCTCTTGAAGGATCCCATGACGAAATCAGCTGCACTCGTCGATCACCGCCTGTTACGGTCAACAACACAGACGACGACACGACCACTGCCACAGTCTCACGCGTACTACTTTCGGCGCACGAAGGATCAACAACTAAAGCAAAATGACGTCCTTATCTGCACTCACAGGTGAAAGAGGAGAGTTAAACAAAGACAACGGTGTACATCATCGTCTTCCCACCGAGGCTTCGTGCGGGAAGGAGGATAGCAGAAGGAGGAGGCGAGAAGAGGAAGACCGGACTTGACTTGGGCACAGCGGGGAGACCGCAACCTTGTCCTTTATATAGCGCGGGAGGTTCCTGCTTTTGGCATCTCGGTTACATCAGTCGTAAAAGCCTGAGATATATTGCGGGAATCTAATACGTACAGACACTAAGCACAGAAGAAAGAAGAATAGTTGAAGATGATAGAGAATGTAGTAGATAAGATGAAAAAAGAAAGAAATCGACGGTCCACCGAGAAGTCAACAATCAACCTCGGTTTATTCACTCTATTTAGGGTTCACTGAGGAGTACTTGATGAATGTTGAACTAGTTTTGTTTTGTTCATTAGATGGGTGATTGCTTTTGGGGGAAAAAATGATTTGATGCGGCGATAAGGTGTGCAGGAGTTGTTTTCAAGGAAAGCGGTGGGCGGTTTGACTTTAATTTGTGACCAGTCATTTTATTTGGCACCAGTCAAATAAAAAAATTTGATATGGTATCAGAGACAAGCGAGTTAAATAAATCATATAATATCAAATTATTTATCACCTTGATGTATTTTAAAATTTTTTGAGTTACAATCACAAAAGAATAAAAAAATTTATTAGAAGGGTGGACAATGTCAATAACATTAAATAAGATTAATCAACTCTTATTAAAGAGTCTCTTGAAGCCTTTAAATTTTTATTGGTTAAGAAAAACTTATATAGTTCAGTTCTAATCCTACTAGGACTAAGGTTATAACAACCTTCACCCAAATATAGACACCCACAAAGAAAGGATAGCATTAACTCCTAATAGGAGTAGGAGACTTCCATATGCTAGCCCTATAACAAATTGGAAAGGGATTAGAAATCTCTAATTCTACAGGTATTCAGACTCTCCGATACTCAAGATATTAAGACTCTTCAAGTTCTAAACTCATTGGGACCTTATCTCTTCCTCAACTATAAAAAGAGAATAAGAGAATTATCTAAAACATCCGAAGTTATACCTCTCTTGAGAAGCTAATCGATCGTAGGCTGAGAGGAGAGAATAGAAAAAGAGAAAAATATTTGTATTTCTAATTTACTGCCAACCTTAATAGCTTATAAAAATATGTTTAGTAACAATAATAAGAAGAAATAGAACCAAAAGGTAACGAAGAAGTCAGTGGACTTTAGTTTTTTAACTTGCACCAAAAACTAAAAGAAGAGTTCAAATTAGGGTTTTGCCCTCTAGCCATAGCCCTTCTTCCAGTAAGTTACAATAGTCAAAGCTCTACATCAAGCTTCACTCAACTATTGTGAGAAACCCCCAACACTTGTTGCATACTGCCCAAATCTTAGGAGGAGATTCCAGTAACGAAAGAAAATGAGAAAACTAAATCCGACAATGATATATAATTTACCAAGAACACCAAGTGTTATATAAAGATAACATAATCTTACGCATGTATAAGTCTTCTATCATACTTTTAATTCTATTAAAGTCTTCTATCATACTTTTAATTCTATTAAAGTCTTCTATCATACTTTTAATTCTATTACTTTAAGTCTTGTAATTATCACTTTAGCTTTACTAGCAATAAAAAATATTTTATTTTAGATTTGTGCTTATTTCCTAGCGATAGTTCTCTCTTCTCCTAAAACTTTCATTCGATATCGAGATGATATATCATCGAACCTAAACCCAATAGAAATCAATATCAAAACAACGATCTTAAGATAGTGACCATGAGACAATGATACAAAGACTCTAGAAAGAAGCTATAGGAGTCAGAGTTTTAAGTCGCTCTTACATGGTAGAAGAACCATCAACAGGATGGCAGCTAATACCCTAATAGCATGGCTAACTTTATAATATTAACCGTCAAGATGATAATATTAACCGAATAGATGAAGGTCATAATGGACTAGATGCAAGCCGAGAGAGAGAGAGAGTCAACTATATTTGAGTGTGCAACTGTGAAGAAGACACTGCTGAACAAACATTGCAACAAGGACTTGAGCCTTTTGTATCGATGCTCGCATCAACATACCTTCCTACGATGACTCAATTAATACTGAGATATTGAACTCATAGATAGATTAATTCAACACTTATTTTGATCCATATGACTATAGTAGCAAGGATATGATAATGTTTGTGTGACTCAAGTTGACTAAATAAGTGCTCGTAGTGTGGAAAGCTTATTTTTGAACCAATAATTATGAAGACATATCATGGATATGATTCGAAAGACTCATATAAGAGGAGTTACATCTTAAGGAATAGACCAATTCGTGCAAGAATATACTATTAAGTTTCAACAATAAGCTGTGGCACTTGAAATCTCGATCAATGATTATTCGATGATGATGAAATGCACCGTCGGCCTCCACGAACAAATTGATATAGAGATGAGCCTTTTTAAAGTATATAATATTTCGATTGCTAGAAACACGATAATTTTGATCGAGATAAAGAATCATACATACATCGAGAATCTCATAGAGAAGGTCTATTGGGAAATCTAAGGGCGACATCACATGTGTAGCGGAAGAAAATAAAATAAAATCCTAAATTTTTCAAAAGATGTTCATCGTCATACATAGATTGGTGCACAAAAACTCACGAAACTAAAAACATGTGTGAGATAGTTGTGTTATCTAGAAAGATCGTATATCCCTGAATTCCTAAAGATCTATGTTAGTGGATAAAGGAGGTCAAGTATCCTCCTCTTTAGTGGTGATCCACACGGTAGGGGCTACAAAGACGCTCCTCTAATCGATACCCAAATCTCCACACCTGCTATCTAAGGAAGAGAAAGAGATAGGAGAATAGTAGGTGGTAACCAAGAAAGAAGTCTAGCTTATAACCCTTTAGTTCTCTCCTATTTATAGAGGCTCCATATCAACTTAACCCTAATGGATCTTGCCTTATTAGGTATTGGATCTTCATTCAACTACTCAAGCCTCTTAGATTAGTTGATCTCTATTCAATAATCTCTTATTTGCTCTTATTGGATCTCATCCATAGAATCCAATAATTCATGGGCTTATTGGATATCCAATAAGATAAGGGCTCTAGCGGATATCTCACATCCGAACCTCTACTCATCACAATACCTACCATATATGTATGACCCTCTAGGCCCAATATTAAGCTGGCCATGAGTCATACTTGTTAAAACTCCTTCTTGCTTAGTGAATTATTATCTTCGTAATAATTTACTCGACTCATCGACTACGAACGTACTAGGCCACTACGTCACAATCCCTAAACGATACAGAGGAATCCAATCCTTTGGACCTATCTATCTTTAATTACCATATACCTATAGTCCTTCATTTATCAAATATCCTAGAGATAGTATATTGGGCATAGTGCTATCAGGCTCATACGGTTTCTTCTCGAATCTCGCTCTAATTGGATTCTCTCGGAGAACTCTTTCTCTCTCAATCCGAATGACCTTGGCTAATGATTTATCTGAGCAAGAACACATGGGATATTTCTCTCATGATACCGAGAGTGGATGATCTTTTATTAATACTCAATAGCCCTCGTAAGATTGGCTGCCACCCCTGATGACGGTTGTGTAATATTTGAAACTTTCAAACATACAAGTCCGGTATCAAATAGTGGAGTACTCATATAGGACATTCTTAGTATCTCAAATCTAAAGACCAAGTACACCACCAGGATAATGAAATCGTTATTTGACAATGAGGTATCATCAACTATCTAACATTCTATGAGCGGATCAATCAGTTAACTCATTCTTCAATAAGCACTTATATTGTATCCCTAGTATCCTCATATTAGCAGCTATGAAACCAACCACCTCTATCATATAGATGGGTATACAACATACTAGTCTGTCTAGTTATCTCGATATCCTTTTCGAATAACTTATGACCAAGATTATTTAGAGTCCGTGTTTAAATGTGAATCGGTCCCATTATCATGATTTCATCATGATCCGATTCTCATTGCACAGATCCATGGACATCACAATATATTTATATAATAAAAAATATAAAGTGAGAAAATATCAAAATAATATTAAGCAAAAAGAGTATATATCATGTCACACGTGTCATCACTCACGTAATTGGCTTGTAGGACACCTATGACTAGCAAGGCCAAAAGGAGCCACTCGAAGGCCTAAGAGAATATCATGGATGATAAAACTTTTTCTTTCTTAAAACAAAAAGATTTATTCTATGATAATTATAAAATTATATGCGTTGAAAGGTTAACTGAAACTCTTCCAAAGAAGTGGTTAAAGAATAATTAAAGTCAATGAGCCATAATTATGACTACAAACGATGACACTATCAAACTTTCACTAGTTCCTTATAAGGATCTAAGTCTATTATTGATAATTAGACCAAATGTTATAAACTTAGTCTGACTCTTGGTCCAAAGGTTTAAAAGGAGCTCTTCAACATAAAGATCTAAGTGAAGCAAGAAGTTGTTGATACAATCTTCAATAACATATGCCAAAAGAACATTATCTTGGTGAGCTTGGTCAAGAAGCTCAGCTTAGAGATAACACTGCATCCAAGCTCATATCCTCTTACATGGATTAATGATAATAAAAAAATAAAGATCGATTAACAATGTAAGATACACATCGCCATCACAAATGAATTCATCGACAATGTGGAGGTGGTTCCATTTGATATATATCAAGTCATCCTTGAGAGCCCCTACTTATGGGATTGGGATTCTATTAACTTTGATCGATACCAGTAGTATCAATTCTAGAAGGATGGAAGAAAGTTCCTCGTTACTTAAGACCTAATTCGTTTGATGGCTAAAGCTCTACATCAAGCTCCACCTAACTACCATGAGAAGGCCCCAATGTCTATACAGCTTGTTATCTAAACCTCAGAAGTAATTTCCAGCTGTGAGATAGGAGAAGACTGAAACCTATAATGATATATAATTTGTCGAGAGCATAATTTGCTTGTTATCAAAAGACAACAAGTCTTCTATTACATTTTCAATTCCATTACTTTAAGTCTTATTGTTAGTACTTTGGCTTTACAAGTAATAAATATTATTTTTTTTCAATTTTACACTTGTTTCCTAGAGATAGATCATTCATTCACTAAAATTTTTATCCAAAAGATAGTATCAAGCTAATGAATCGTTAAACTTGAATCCCATGCGGCTCACATGAAGAAAAGTTAATTCTAATAATTAGAGTTTGATTCTTCTATAAATATCATAACTCTATATCTTGATGGACGAAGAGAAATATATCAAGAATATTTTGGATGCTAATATCATAACTCTAGATCTTGATGGAAAGATAGAAAGATGTCTCTAATTTTTTAGAAAGGGTAAGATAAATGATATAAATTCTATGCAGTTTATGTA